ACCGCGGTCAGCGCTGCGCAGCCTGCATGCAAAGCTATCCAACCATTCAATTTAACTTATTGCAAGCATATGGCACTGCCGTGCGGACAAGCAATCGAGAGGCGAGAAGCGAGGCATGCCAGCGGGCAAAGGCAGCCCGGCTTACCATCCGTGTCGAATGCAGTGCCCGTTGCCAGCTTGATCATGACATCTGCCTGTAACTGAGAGATAACACCTTCTGCCTTCCACAGGTCTATTGCCAAAGCCAGAAACTTGCTGAAATCAATGCCTGCTTTGCCCAGCTCGCCCTTCAGCCGCGACCGCTCGGAGCGGCTGCCGGCGGCGGCGCACCGCTCAGTGAAGAAGTCCTTGAACTCCTCCCAGAACACGATGGAATGGCAAAAGAACTTGATCTCGTGGGAGTAGCCTGACTGAACGGCGATGGCGACGCGCGCCTGTGGATGTGCTTCACAAAACCTTTCCCACGAGTTGAAGCGCGACTTCAGCTGCTTAGCTTGGTTAGCTGCACCGCTCAATAGCGGCGTTGGACCTAGAGCCTTGCTGCCGGACTGGGCACCATGCTCATGTGTGCTCATGGGGGTTGAGTTCGTTGGAAAAGCGTATTACGGTTGCTGGGATGCCAACAGAACAAACGGGAGGGAGAATGATGCATGATTGAGGATGATGTCCCCAATGACCCTCCAGGTGGGGGGCCATCATGCCCATCATGGGGCACATCCTTACCGGGAGGCCTACCTGCTCCGCCTGGTCATCCGGACAGACATTGGCCGCTGCAAAGCGGCCAATGTCAGTCTCATCCCGTTATTCCATCATCAATCATCTTCAATACCCCCTGATCATTATCATCACATGCATCTGGCTTGCGAACTGAGGGGGGCGGCCGCCACTTCGTGTGTGGCCGGCCAACAAACCCGAGGGCGCAGCACAAACCGACGAGCGTTTCTGCAAACGCTGCTTCGCATGGCAGCCGTCTCTGCCCCGGCCGTGATCACGGTCGTCGAGAGCATGAGCCTCGACGAGCACGACCTGGCGGCCTCCGTAGCGGTGGCTTCTTTGGGCGGAATTGCCTCCCTGGGCCAGCACGGGACAGGGGCAAGGGCTGAGGAAGCGGCCCGCCTGGCGCTGCACGCTGTGACCCAAACCGACCTGCCGCTGCCAGCGACACCGCAAGTAGGCGAGGTGTGTGACCGCCCGCCGCCACCTGCCTGCTGTCATCCTCAAACCTGCAATTGCCACTCCTTGCACCCCCCAGTCCAGCTTCGACCGAATGGCAGCAATCGTCACCGTCGTGCCGACCCACCGGCCACTGCACTTCCCACCACCCCGCCGCCGCAGGTCCAGAACACCTCTGAGCTGCAGCAGCTGCTAGAGAGCCACCCAGAGCAGTTCTTCATCCTCCATGCCGCGGCCGCAGCCTGCCCGCTCGGCGAGGTGAGGCGCTGGATGGCTGACGGGGCCGCATGAACAACGGGCGGCACACCAGCCCCAGCTGACAACGCCTCTGCCCGTCCCTTGCAGGCCCTCAAGCCATGGCTGCTCCAGGCCTGCCTCCAGCACCCCGCAGCAGCCTTCCTCCGCATCGCAGCCCCAGACGGCGCCGACCTGCTCCCAGGGGTGCACGTGGGCCCCCAGCCCTGCACCCTTCTGCTGCGCGGCCAGCAGCTGCTGGCCCGCCTGGAGGTGGATGCCGCCACCGCCACCGCCAGTGCAGACGCCCTGGCAGCACATGCGGCCCAGGAAGGTCAGCGCCTGCTGGCCGTCCTTGCAGCCATGCTGCCGCGGCAGCACGCCCCGCAGGCGGCGCCCGCGGCCGCCTGCGTGTGCCACCAGGAGCATGCTGGCGGTCTGTACGCTGAGGTGGGGATGCCCGCCACATTCGCCGTCAGCTACTAGGCACGAGGCTTCTGCAGAAGCCTGGAGTGCACGCGACATCCTCCTACCTCTGCCACTCTTGTCAGCCTGTATCTTTGAACCCTCCAATCAGCCTTCTTCGCATTCCTTCATTGCAGCCACCAGCAGCCCTCAATTCTTTTCAACGCCGCAAATCAAGCAGCATGTTGTTGTCACGCATCCTCTTCACTGAAGCGCCCATCACACCCCGTGTGCAGTACAGCCTTGGCTCCCAACTCCATCACCGCGTCTCTCGATCCTGTTCCCAGTTTCCCCCTCTTCCTTTGATAAACTTGCTTCCAAATTCTTTTCGGAACTTCTCTGTACTGCGCTGCCCCCCAGCATCCCAATGAATAGACGGGATCTGTAACCTGAGCTCAGCTGCACACTTGTAGCAGAAGTGTGGAGGTGGCGGGATGGGAGCTGCCTTCGCGATGTACCCACACAGCCCACCATATGCCATCAAGACCTGCTGCCAGCGCAGGAGGAAGCTGGTTGTGCCTGCAGGAGTTAGTTTACATGGAGCGCCCAGCACCAGCGTCGTCCCCAAGGTTGGACAAAAGTACACAGATTGCACAATTCATGCATATGTCCCATGCATATGCCAGTACCCATGTGAGCTGAGAAACCGATGACAGACAGAGACCGAGAGGAGGGGCGGCAAGGCTCACGGCGGCGGCACCCTACGTGCCGCCTGTTGCCCGTCACCCCCAATGAAATGAAAATGCGCCGCTAAGGAGTGAGAGTCGCTAAGCTCGGCACCCCACGTGCCGGCCGCTGTGGCTGCCCTGGCACATGCCGTCATGCCAGCTGGTGCTGCTGCTGCTGCTGCCGATGGTGCTGCCTGCGGCTTGCCCTGCTCAGACCTCGGTGATGTTGCGCCCGAACAGCTTCATGCGCACCCAGTCGCTCTGAACCATCCAGCGGTTGCGGGCAGACACCTGCAGCCGCGGGCCAGGCGGCACGCCAAGGTCAGGCTGGCGCCCACCCCTGCTCCAGCCCTCGGCGCCCCCTACAGCCCTCCTCGAGCCCCCGCACGCCCGCTTGGCGTGCCCCCCGCCCTTCTCCTGAACCTGGCGTCGCTTCCCTGGGAGCCTCACCTGGCCCCACGTCTCGAAGCCGCGCCAGGTCAGGCCCACCAGCCAGCCCTGGAGGGCGTTGAAGGGGAAGGCGGAGGGCAGGGAGAGCACGGCGCGGTCCATGCCCACGTATGCAAAGGTGCCAAAGTGGCGGTAGCTGCGGGGGGGCCGGCGGCGGGGTGGGGGTGAGTGGGGTGGGGGTGGGGTGGGAAGGGCGGGATGC